ACACACATGACATGAGTGTTAATTTATTATACATGTCAATGTAATTTATGGACAAAATTTTGAAATATATCTTTGGAAATATATTTACACACATGATGATGTCATATCACACCCATATATGGACATGATGATCTCACATCACACCCATATATGGATATAATGATGTCATATTAGTAGTTTATTATAAAAGCTTACAGCTTGAATGAACTCAGATATTTGCTCATACATGCACTAATGTATGAGTATTCTAATGTCTTTTTAGGCCAAGTAAAAGAAAAAAGGTTACTTATCTAAAATTGAAAAAAATATATATGCTTTGTTTTGCCTGTCAAATTAAGATTTGTTCAGATAAAATCATTTAGCTTGTAACACGGAATCTGAGTTACACAGGCCCTGTCCAGACTCACACATTTTATAAAATAACATGTGAAATGCCTAAACATGGTCATGATGACATCACACCATGACCATATATAGGCACACAAGTACTATATATGTGCATACGAAAGGGTAGGAATATAAAAATTTTCACTTTTATTAAATTGGATTTCCAACAACTATAGGAATTTCAATGTTGGAAAAAAAAATGAGAACATGAAAATGTAGCAGACACAGATGACAAGGGCAGATCCCTCTGTTGTTTTGCCTCTAAATTTAAAAATTTCAATGCGTATATTGAAATTAGCACTACTCATTATTTATTCTGAATAATGTTGAGCCCCTGGATGAGATGAGAAATTATTCATTTTCTTTTTACTTGGCCTTATATTATTTTGTTTTATATTTTGCATAAATATTTTAACTAGTAAAACTGGTTATAATTGCGTTCATTATAACTTAAAAGCAATATTTTATTAATGTAGGTAGTTAAGAGAATATTATAACTTGTAATTTATCACTACTAAGGATATCGTCCGTTTCCGATCCTTAATGATTCTGTGAATTTACTCATCATATTCTTCTTTGCTTCATTCATTTATTTAGCATGAGTAAATCATGAAATAAATTTTATAGTGAAACATTCGTCTTTAAGAATACTATTTATTGTATATAACAAATGGTTGTGTCTCCTTTGCTTTGAAGTTTAAGCTTGCCACTAAAACGACGAGCTGGAAATAAAAGAGACTTTTTCATAATAAATGTATTGTTTCCTTCGATTTCTTATGAGTGTTTTTTGGTGTGTGGGTGTGTGTGTATGTTTGTAGGGGGTGGGGTTTGTGGGAGGAATGCTATGTTATGTTAAGCCCTGTCCTGACAATCAAGTTTTTTTGACAAAAACTTGTAACTTACTTAAATATTATCATTACATCACATCATGACTATATATAGGTACAGCTTGACTATATTATGGGCATGAAAGACACTTATTGAGGATATTTATTTGTTGAACTTTATTTTGATGATGTAGCTCATCATTAATGGATAGCTTAAGGCATTTAAAAGATCAGATACAATGGCGGATCCATCGAGTGGTGAAAGGGGCGCTTGCATGTTGTCGGGAGAATTAATCTTATATAATTTGTTCAGATTATGCGAACTAAAATCTAGTAAATAAGCTTTTCAAATCCGTGATGATTAGACTCCTTCCGTGACTCTTTTATGCTCCCATCGGAAATATTCCCCACCCCTCTGGGAGAAAATCCTGACGCCATTATTGAAACACAACTTTTTTTATTCGTTGAAAACACATCTATCCCCTAAAACACTTCTAAACCACTAAATTTCCACACCAAAAGTAAATATTTAAAAAATGAATATGTCACTACGAGTAGCTGGCGGAAAATTATGGAATAAACTTCTATATTCAATACAAAAAGCAGCCTCATACAACGTAAGGGAAGCTACAAGACTGACCTGGAGGCAAAGGATACTTGGTAAGTTGGAGACATAGAAAAAAGTTTTATATATTTATTTTAAACTCACTTTTAAATAAGCGACAAACGATTAAAAAAATCAATGAGCCAAAAAAAATTAAAAAAAATTAAAATTAAAACAAAAACAAAGAAAACTCAAAAAAAAAAAACTGATGCAAAAAATGTAATTGTAATATAAAATTATTTAAATCAGTTATTGAATAAACAATGAGCAAGAATAATAAAACGCCTTTGATAATCAACGCATAAGATTTGTATTTTGGTGAAAGCCCTTTAATCCAGGAGGAATATGTAAAATCTCTCGAGAAGAAGCCAATCTTGAATTAAATCCCCCTCTTTAGTTTACAAAAGTAACCTCAAAAAGAAGCCCATCTCGAAAAGAAGCCCATGGGCTTATTTTTAAGTTATAAGTTAGCATGGGCTTCTTTTCGCGATATTACAGTACATAAACTTTAATGAATTTCAAAGAAAAATAAATAAATTCAAACATGCTTGGTTTATACAGTGTTTAGGTGATTTAATGCCGATTAATACTCTATGATACAGGTTGATCTTACAGTGGCCCTATTTATTGTTTATTAGAGTAATTCCCAAATTTTACAGCATTCATTTGGAAAAGAAGCCCCCTCTTTTCTTTGCAAAAGTAGCCTCGAATAGAAGCCCAGGGCGAAGCCCAGGGCTTCAATTCAAGGTTTTACGGCCGGCGAATGATTCTTTAAATAACAAATCTGTTTGGCCCCACGTCTCACTTAAAATGTAACCCATTATTGTTCCTATACTGGTCCAGTTGCCTTTTTGTTTCTAAACAAAACTAGCCATAAATAATATGTCGTCTTGGAATGTTTGTAAGTAGAATTAAATGTAATTAATGATTTAATGTACTTAAATTGCCTGTGCCGTTGATAAAGATGAGGACAATCGTTGATCGATCACAAACTTAAGATTTTCTCATTTTATAAACAAGTTAATGTACTTTATTACCTTCATGGCAATGTCAAACCAAAACGGAAAGGTAAATATCAAGCCAATTTAGAGGAAATTTGGAATGAAAAGTCTGTTGAAAAAGCAAACGGTCCTAGCCCCAACACAAGAATGCATTCCAGCGAGCAGGCCGGAACACCTGGTCAACAATGAACCTTACTTGTGGTAGTGTGAACAACAGCGGCAGTTTGCGACGGTCAAGCAGACATTTAACTAAGTCAATCAATGAGATCAAGTTAGCTACCTATGATATTTTGGAAAAGATATGTGGTATGGAGACTGAAATGACCAAAATAAAGGTACAAAATCTGTTAATAAAAAAGGGCGGAATCAATGGGCGTAGACATTACAGAGAATGTGGAATTCTTGGATATGCAAATCAATGGCATTGCAGACTCTCAAAACCCGGACTTAACAGCACAAGTCAAAGCACTACAGGGTGAAGTCGAGGATTTAGAGGGTCGTGCACGTCAACAACCGGATTCTCCCGGAAGGCTCGGAACAAGGTAAAACCACAGAGGAATTTCTAACTAATTTTATTACGTGACTTTTTTTTTTTTTATTATTATAAGAACACATTTTATAAGAACACTGAGGCTGAAACTGCTTAAAAATTAAGAACAAATTCAGGCTGAGGTAAAATGTCAAATGAGGTTTTTTAATTATTTATTTTTAAAGTAGAAAAACAAAAAATATATATATCTGTACCTTATGTGCAGTAGTTGTGACTATGTAATGTCCTCTATTAATACAGTAGGTGTACCTGTCATTTGGGGCCATTTTTACCGGGTCTTTTTTCTGGGGCCATTTTTTCTGGTTCCTTTTTCAGGGGCCATTTTTATTTACAGTAGTGTACTACTGTTCAATATTGTTTTCTGTGTTTGAAAATTGTGTAAAATAAGAACAACATTTTGAGCCTGAAGTCAGCCAAAAAACACTGAGCCTGGGCAAAATTTTACTGGTTCATTGAACAAATCAATGGGAATACAAATCGAAAAAGATGATATTCAACGAGCTCATCGGATCGGTGCGACACCTAAACAAGGCATACACCGCCCTATTATAGCTTATTTCTATAAATACACAGTTGAAGAAGAAGTAAGGAAGGCCACTCCAAAGAAAAAAAAACCCGACATTTAAAAAGAACGTCATTTTTATTAACAACGATTAAGGCGAAGGGCCTTATCAAGCATTTTGAGAGAAAAGAGAAGGGACGGAGTTCGTGCTTGGTTTCAGTATGATCGACTAAAGTTAGTTACTGATCAAGGTATAGTGAAAACTATTACTGCAGTTCCAGATAAATTAAACCAAGGGAAAAGAAGCGCTAAAAAAAACATCCAAAGAAAACGAAAGAAACTCTGTTTCTTTAGCCATGGCACTTCAAATTCCAGAGGGGTAGCAGTTGTTTTTAAAAACAAATTGAATGTCACCATCCACACAACTCAGACGGACAAGTGTGGAAATTGGTTAGCACTTGACGTCACAATATAATCCATTCGGTTTACGTTACTTTCTATATACGGGCCCAATATTGATAATCCAACATTTTACGACAGGATTGATAAAATTATTAATTCGTTTAACAACGCCCATAGGCCTATTATGATTTGTGGGCATTGGAACTTAACATTAAACCCGACAAAAGATGCAAAAATTTACGTAAGAATAAATAATCCGAAAGCAAGAGAAAGGGTCTTAAAAATGATAGATGAATTGGAATTAGTAGATCCCTGGTGCATAATGCCATGCTTAGATCTAAAGCGCAACGAATAGAACATGGGGAAAACCCAACAGCTTTTTCTTGAATTTAGAGAAAACGAATTATATACAAACTAATAGATGAGAGGGGTAATAAAATAACAGCTAATAATAAAATTGTAGAAAATGTGGAAAGATACTATAGAACGTCATACGCAAATAGCGATGAAAACCTTGATTTCACATTATTAGGAACGTTATTTGATGATACAGATTTAAACAAATTATCAGATACGCAAAGAAATGAAATTGAGGGACCGCTTCACTCTTCTGAAATAGCAAGAGCGCTAAAAAATATGACTAACAATAAGAGTCCGGGACAGGATGGATTTACGGCAGTTTTTTTAATTCTTTTGGGTAGATCCCTTTCTTAGAATGATTATGTATACGAACAAGGTCATTTAACACAAACACAACTGTTGGACTCAATAACCCTCATCCCAAAACCTAATAAACCAAGGTGCGCTCTAAAGAACTGGAGACCTTTCTCGTCATTAATTATTACCGGTACCTATAAATTGGCTTCTGCATGTATTGCGAATATGATTAAAATGGTCTTAGAGCACCTTATAAGCAGAGCAAAATGGTTTTATACCAGGAAGATTTATAGGAGAAAAGGACAGAGTGATAAGCGACTTAATAAATGTTACTGATATATTTGATATTCCAGAGATGCTCCTGCTAGTGGACTTGGAAAAAGCGTTTGATTCTGTTTCCCATAAATTCATTTATAAAACTTTAGACATGTTTAATTTTGGGGCCTCAGTAAAACGCTGGGTTAAGATATTCTATTCTGAAATGCTTCCTTCTATAAATATTAATGGTAGCATGTCTAAGCGATTTAAAATTAAATCGCTTAGAGGGTGACCCCTCGCCGTACCGTATATATTTTTGTCATGTTCTGAACTCCTAAATAATTTAATCAAAAAAATAAGAAGATTAATAGAATTACAATTGAATGAGGTAGAATATAAGATATCGCAAAATGCAGATGATACCACACTAGCGCTAGATGGTTCGGAAACGTCACTTCATGCAGCCTTAGATACATTAGACTTGTTCGAAAAAATTTCGGGCTTAAAAATAAATGAGGAAAAAAATAATATAGTTTGGATAGGTAGTAAAAAACATTGTGAAATTAAAATAAAAACTAGACAAAAATTTAACTGGATAGGGAAAGGTATTTTTTTCAATTCTAGGTACGGTACTGGTATTGGATTTCTCTTTAAATGCGGCTCGTATGGTTAATGTAAATTACGAAAAAGTTTTTGAAACAATTGAGCGTCTTGTAAATAAGTGGTCAAAAAGAAAACCGACAGTTATAGGGAAAATAACGGTTATTAAATCATACTCCCCAAATTAATTCATATGATATTATCAATTCCAAACCACCCCTCTGTAGACTTTATTATTAAAATCAACTCGTTGTTCTATAATTTTGTCTGGCAAAAGAAACCAGACAAAATTAGCACACGGCGGTTTAAGGATGGTTGATCTCAATCTGTTTTGTATGTCATTAAAATGACACGGCTTCGTAGAATAGCACATAGTTCTGATGATAATCCAGTACTTAAGTTATTCCAAGGCATAACTGAAATATCAAATGTAAATGATCTAGAAACAGATCAGGCACATCTATCAAAAATAAGAAATAATATAAAAAGAAATAAGAGTACCAATCCGATCATTGATGAACTGTAATCATGTATGTGTTTATGTAAGTGTATGCATCTATATGCATGTGCGCGTGTATATATGTATATATATACATATATG